AGAGAGAGAGAGGAAAAATAACAAAAGAACAGAGAAAGAAAAACGCGCAGATAGAAGAAGAAAGCTCTTGTTCAGCCCACCGGCTGTGTTCACCTCGACCTCCGGAAATGATATATGAACGTTCAGTACCAAAGTAGAGGAATTTACCTATAGTGCGTCCTTAAGTCTTACTCTTTCTGGACACACACCACACACACACACACACAACACACCACACACACACACACACACACACACACACACACACACCTATATATATATATATATATATATATTATATATATATATATAATATATATATATATATATATATACATACACACACCACACACCCAACCACACACCCCACACACACACACACACACCAACACACACAACACACACACACACACACACACACACACACACACACACACACACACACACACACACACACACAACACACACACACACACACACACACACACACAACACCACACACACACAATTTTTTTTTTCTTTCTTTCTTTCTTGTTTTTTCTTTTTTTCTCTCTTCTTTTCTTTTTTCTTCTCTCTTTCTTTCTTTCTTTTTTTTCTTCTTTTTTCTCTTCCTTTCTTCTTTCTTTTCTCTTCTTTTTCTTTTTCTTTTTTCTTCTCTCTTTCTTTCTTTCTTTTTTTCTCTTCTTTTCTTTTCTTCTTCTTTCTTTCTTTCTTTCTTTCTTTCTTTTAGGGGGGCGATTTTAGGATAAAGAGTGTGGATAGAATGGGGAAAGGGAAGGGAGTGCGTAACAGTGGAAAAAATAAGANTTTTTTCTCCCCCGCTTCCCCACAACAACCGCTACCTTCGTCACACCTTCCATCTCTTCTTTCCGCCCCCCTTTCCCCCCCTCTCTCATCTCTCTCCCCCCTTCCCCCCTCTCTCTTTTCTCTTTTCTCCCCTCTCTCTTTTCTCCTCCCCTCTCCTCTCTTCTCTCTCTCTCTCTCTCTCCTTCTCCTACTCTCTCTCTCTCTCTCTCTCTCTCTCTCTCTCTCTCTCTCTCTCTCTCTCTCTCTCTCTCTCTCTCTCTTCTATTGCCTTCTCTCTCTCTTCTCTCTCTCTCTCTCTCTCTCTCCTCTCTCTCTCTCTCTCTGCTCTCTCTCTCTCTCTCTCTCTCTCTACCTTCTCTCTCTATGCCCCCTCTCTTCTCTCTCTCTCTTTCCTCCCTCCTCTTTCTCTCTCCCTCCCTCTCTTTCCCTTCTCTCTTCTCTCTCTTTCTCTCTTCTCTTTCCCACTGTCCCCCACTCTCTCTCTCTTCACCTCCCCTCTCTCTCCCTCTGTCCCTCCCCCTCCTCCTCTCATTTTCTCCTCCTCTCCCTTTCTCTGTCTCTTCTTGCCTCCCTCCTTCCTGTTTACTGTGTAGTACAATTGTTAACATGCTGGTCTTGTAATCTTGTTGACCTGCGTTCGATCCTGCATGCTACCAGTGGATGGTAACCCCAACCATTCCTTACATACGGGGAGATTTAGAAGCAAAATAAAACACAGTATGTCACAGCAAAGAATGTCCATTGTCACAAATGGAATTGAAACTAAATCTTTAAATCTTAATCTTCCCCCTCTTGCTACCTCTCCCAACCTTTGTCTCTTCTTCTCCCCCTTATTTTTGCTGATTTAGCTGTATTGCTCTCTGTTCATCCTCAAACTCCCTTTCTTTGTTGCGCTTTCTCCTACATTCTGCATATCACATTTTCCTCACTTTTTGTCTTACCATTTTCTCTCTCCTTTGTGCAAGTGAAGTTTTTAAAAAAAGTGCTAATAGCAATTAGAGGCTAAACACATTGCAGTGTGGAAGTTCAGCAGAATAAGTTTACCTTTTCTAAGTTTATTTGTAGGTATTTCTATTAGGAAACAACCTCAGTGGTTGTTTTTCTCATATATAGGCTGTTTGAGGCATCATTTTTGAGAGGTGCTTAGGTTCAGCTTAAATAAAAGTAGATGGATGTACACCTATTTGTCAAAAACAATGGTGTGGAATTCAAAAACCATATTGGGTACTGCTAGAATTGAGTGGTAGTACTGCAAGTTATAATTTAAGGGGACAAGGAACATTAGAAAAATCAAGCTAAATTGATCTATTAATCATTTTGCAATAACACTGTGTTTATCTCTATATTTTCCCCACTTTTTTATTCAACCTCTTCTCTTCACCCTCGTCCCTTGCTCACTTTTCCTTTCTCTCCTACCCCTTCCTCTTTCCCTTTGCCTCACATGCCTTCCATCTTTCACCTTCCCCTTCTCCCTCCTTCCCCTCTCTTTACCTCTCCTTATTGTCCCCTTCTGTCTTATTACCCCCTATCTTCTCTCTTTCTTTATACCCTCTTCTCACTTTTAACCTTCCCTCTTCTTCCTTAACCCCCCCCTTCTGGTTCCCTCCTTCATTCGCCCTATCCCAAATCCCTCTTCCTCTTTCCCTTCTCCCCTCTGATCTCCCCTCTTTTCTTCTTTGTACCCCCATTCCATATCTCTTCTCCTTTTTCTTCCTCCTTTTCTCTCCCTCTCCTTTACCCCACTCCTATCCATTGTAACACATGGAATTAAAAACAAAATTATTTTTATTATTATTACTCTTCTCTGTCTCCCTCTGCTCTTTCTCCACTGTTGTTTCTCTTCTATACCCTCCCAACTCTCTCCTATCTCTTCTTGCCCTCTTCCTCCTATCTCTTACCTCTCCTTTTCCCTCTTCCTCCCATCATATCTCTCTCTTCCCCTCAACCTCATCTCACACTCTCACATCTCTCTCTCTCTCCCCTCTCAACCTCTCCTCTCTCTCTCTCTCTCTCTCTCTCTCTCTCTCTCTCTCTCTCTCTCCTCTCTCTCTCTCTCTCTCTCTCTCTCTCTTCTCTCTCTCTCTCTCTCTCTCTCTCTCTCTCTCTCCTCTCTCTCTCTCTTCTCTCCTCTCTCTCTCTCTCTCTCTCTCTCTCTCTCTCTCTCTCTCTCTCTCTCTCTCTCTCTCCTCTCTCCTCTCTCTCCTCTCTCTCTCTCTCTCTCTCTCTCTCTCTCTCTCTCTCTCTCTCTCTCTCTCTCTCTCTCTCTCTCTCTCTCTCTCTCTCTCTCTCTCTCTCTCTCTCTCTCTCTCCCCTCCCTCTCTCCCCTCCCTCTCTCCCTCCCTCCCTCCCCCCCTCAACCTCATATCACCACTCTCTCTGTCTCTCTCTCCTCAACCTCATATCACCACTCTCTCTGTCTCTCTCTCCTCAACCTCATATCACCTCTCTCTCTCCCCTTTTCTTCCAATCTCCTCTCCCTCCCTTCCTCATCTCCTTTCACTCTTTATCTCTCTTCCTCTCCCTCCCTCCCCATCCCCATCCCCCCATCCTCATACCCTGGCACTTGCACTCTCACCTTGTGTGCATGCACATCCATGCACATGCTTGTGTTTCTGCTTCCTTCTGCTTCATCTCTACAAAGAACTTAGCCTAACTTCTCAGTAGAAAATTGCATGATATTTGAAGTTTTATTTTTCTGCATGTACATAAGTTCTCTGTTCCCATATATTTTTTTCTTTATATATTTGTTTGTATTGAAAGCTTAGACTATATTTGGGTAGTTGATTTATTTTCTTACTGTTATTGTGTTTAATGCAATTATTATATATGGGTATTATTAAAATTGTTCATAGAGTTATAAGCTCAAATGCAGTTACTAAAGAAAGAGCAAAGAATTGTTGTAGATGAGACTGATAATTCAAGGAAGCATTATATAACTCAAACCATATACTTCCACTTGCAATGATGAACTTTAGCACTAAAAAGTGTATTTGTAAGAGGTAGGCTGGACTTTTTTAATCATACATGTACTAAGAGGGTTTCTTTCATTATTCTTTTTTCCTTTTCTTATTATTCCTCTTTCTTATCTCAGCTTTCCTCTTCCTTCTCTCCTGTCCATGGTTCATTTCTCCATTCATCAACTCTCCCATTTGCTTGCTCTTTTACCATCTAACTTTTCTTTCCCTTCTATGTGCTCTAATCTGGCTTTAATCCCCTTGCTATAATTTCATTTTGGATGTCTGCTAGTGCAATAGGAAAATTCTGATCACCATGTGAATGAACTTGCCCCAGTCAGAATGATAATGAAATAATGAAGATAATGCTGATGATGATAACAGCAATTTTAATAGTAATAAAAATAAAATTGAAGATAATGATTCATATATAATACAGCAATGGTAATATGGTAATACATCTTGAAAAAGTCTGAATATTCATTAACAAAAAAGTTGAAAAAAGAATTTAGATGCATTTTGACCAATTTTGAGAGTTGACCAATGCAGATCATTCTCTTTATATATTTGTATTTATTTATAATTCAGTTTATTTTTTATATAATAAATGTATGATATATTAGCCTCAGGATGTATCATTATAGCAGGTAAGTGAAAAATTTGAGATTTCCCTATATAAAATATATCTTAAGGTGATACTGAATACCTGCTCTTTAAAATCAGTTAGTACCCCACTGACTGGTACAGGGTCAATGATACAAGAAGATCCTGAGGTTCTATAAAGATTGATTTTGAGGAAAACCAGGTTGATACCACTGACCAAGTTAATTGTGCTTAGGGGAGCAAATCATACCAAATATGAAATAAAAAGGAATTGCTAAACCCAAAGACTGTTGATACTAAATATAGGTTTAAATGTTTAGAGTGGGAATTCATAAATTGACAACTTAAACCTTTCTGTTTACCTGTAGACAGTGTCACTATATATTTCCATAAACTCCTTATTAGGAGGGTGTAGGTCGATATCTGGTCATTACCCTAAACTGATGAACAATGTAGCACTCCTAGATAATATATCTGACTTTGATTTTGGAAATAGCACCAGAAAATTTAAATAGAATGATTTTAATGACAGAACCAGAAAAATTAGAAATTTATCAAATGAAAAAACTGCATATGGTTTGTAAAGTAGACTGAATGTTTTTTCTTCTTAATAGCACATTTGGAATTATTTTAGTTCATACCTAATGCTCACATCTCTCATGCATTTTATTTTTCTATATTTTCAGACCAAACAGGATGAAGGGCTAAAGCCAGTGAGTGCCAGAGCTGAACTGCAGCTGAAGCCAGTTCCACTCCCACAAGCTAGGGCTGCAGGACGGCAAAATGGAACACATTGTAACTTCAGGTGTCACCGGTGTTTCGGGCGTGACCCAGGTGACAGGTGTGGGTTCTATGGCGGGGGTCACAGGTGGTGTGGTTCAGGGTGTGGCTGGTGTGCAGACCCTCAGTCCTGTAGGCAGTGTTGCAAGTGTTGGTTCAGTGGCTGGTGTAGCAGGGGTAACTGGGGTGACTGGAGTGTGGTATAATTATAGTCCAGATGCTGTTGGACAGATTATAACTACCAGTCCAGCTGTGCAAGTAGAGCTAGGGAGTCCAGATATTGCACGGCAATTTAACCAACAAGTACAGGCTCAGTATGGTAATTTGCAGGTTCAGGTGCAAGCTGTAGCTGCCCAACCTCAAGTTGTCAAACCTCAGCCTGCTGTAACTCCTGATCCTCTCATGGTAAAACAGTCTAAGCCTCGGGTGCGTCAAAGTGGTGGTGAACGAGTCCCATGCCCTGAATGTGGAAAAACCGTATCCTGCAATGCTACCTTGAGGGATCACATGCGAACACATACAGGGGAACGGCCTTTTGTGTGTGGTGAATGTGGTCTGGCTTTTGCACAGCGATCCAACCTTCGTATGCACAAGAGACTTCATACTGGTGAAAGACCTTACATGTGTGGTATTTGTGGAAAAACTTTTGCACGTTCCTCTCATTTGCCAGCTCACATGCGAACCCACACTGGTGAAAAACCATATGTCTGTCAAGAATGTAACCATGCCTTTATCACGGCCCAGCAGTTAAAGAATCACTTCCGAGTGCATACAGGAGAAAAGCCTTGGAAATGTGATTTATGTGAAGCTGCATTTACCCATTCATCATCATTATCTACGCACAAGAAAAAACACACTGGACAAAAGCCATTCCAGTGTGAGAAATGTAATAAGGCATTCTTCTTTAGTTCAGCATTAGATAAGCACTTGAAGGTGCATTCCAAGGCACGTCCCTTCAAATGTGATTCTTGTGAGAAGGCATTTAAATACAAAGAAAGTTTAACAGTTCACAAAGAAAAATATTGTGGAAAGGAGGTTTCCAAGAAGCCAAGAGCTCCTCGTCGTCCTGATGCCAAAAAACCAGGGCCAAAACCAGGAAGTGGTAGAAAGTATGTGCAGAAAAGGAAGGGCAGGCCACGTGGCAGGCCTCGCAAGAGAGGCCGCTGGGGAAAGAGAGGGAGACCAAGGAAGTATATTAAGGAAGAAGATGAGGAAGAGGATGATGATTATGATGCAGAATTGGAAGCAGAAGAAGTAGCAAATGACACTATTATTGAGGAAGATTTAGATGAAACAAATGAGGAAGAACTAATCCCAGAAGCTACAATAGATCCTCTAAAAATAGAAAAGATTGTTGCTGAAGATGCAGAATTGCAACATGAACACATGGAACATCAAGATGAGCTTCATCACCATCAATTACAACATGAGCACCTCCAGCATGCAACACATGAGATCCACATTGAAGATGCTACAGCACTCACTATTGTTTCTCCTGAAGAAGCAGAGCAGGCAGCTGTGGTAGAAGCTGCTGCTGCAGGTGGGGTGCAGCTAGTTACATTACACTCTGAGGTCCCACTTCAGATTGTATCACATGACCCGCAAGCGCAAGTTACTCACCAGTTGATCACAAGAGATGGTGTACAGATGTGGTATCCCCGGCAATATCAGTGAGCGAGATCACAGGAAAAGGTTGTGCATCTTCTCCACATTCAAAATATTAAAGAAATTCCTCAGATTTACTTTAATTTCAGAAGTCTTGTGTGTGATTCTAAACAGTGGAGAGTAAAAGACTGAAATTTCAATTCATTTTAAGCTCTCCTGTGATGAAAATATAATGCTCCAGAAGTTTTTAAAAGTCCCTGAACTGACAGTGTCAGTTACCTTTTCAAGTCTTCTGTAATAACATTCTAGTTAGAAGTTATTATTTGGCAACAATGTGGATTTCATTATTGTGAATTTGCATTGTGACAATTTTCTGTATTTACTTGTAAGTTTGCATGTACCGATCTTAAGTTTAACTAAAATTTCTTTTGTTTTCAGCTTTGGTGCTCAGAACCTTTTATATAGCTGAATATTTTATTTTAAACATTTTTCAGTATTGAGTTTTTAACATTCAAGTGTATATTGAGATGTATCATGTTAGGATCACTGTTTAGTGTAGTGAAGAATTCCTTATCCAGATGGGCCTGGTTCAGGATAATTCCAAGGTAAAGCTCTTATGGTGAATGCAAAGCCAAAATCTGAGTCACAGTGAGCTATGAAAATTTTAGGGTTTGTGATGATACTTGAATTGCAAGCTTACCGGAAGTTTAATTATGTATTTTTACCTTTTTATGGCTGTAATCACATTCTAAACTTTTGACTTATTGTTTTGTTATAAGAAAAACTTCTTTTTTTTTTCCCCTATTTTAGCACAACTATTACAGCTGATATCAAAATGCCTAAAATTATTTCTTTCATAAGCTTTCATATACATTATTTTTTCATTAGTACTTGGAATAGTTATGCCACAATTTGTTTAGCTACAGAGGCAAAATTGCCTGATGCAAATGTATCTGTGGTTGTTGCTTTCACCACCTCTGTTTTGATACCCGCCTTGCAATAGTTGAAAGTATAATTATTCATAAACTGAAATACATTTCCATGTGCTACAGTTGAAATATCGATTGATAACTTATAGGCATTAAGTTGGCATACTGAAAGTAGTTGAATTGTGGTAATCAGATTGGATTGCAGTTGTGTGAAAAGTTATGTGAGGAACTGGTAAAGAGAGTATGAAAGCATCAGATATATTTCATTAAAGTTTAAGTGCTGTTTGCAGTATGAAGTGGTGTTGCAAAGCTTATGTGAGAAGGGATTTGTGTGTGCAAGATATAGGTTTTCCTTTTTTAATGTTTCATTTATTTTCATTTCTATCATTTGTCATGCGAATATCACCTTTTAAGACTGCAACGTAATGGTAGCATTTCAGTAATTTTCCTATGCAGTGTTACAAGATAACAATCTTTATAAAAAGACTTACTTTAAACCCCATAAGAGTAGGATTGATGTTATTGTAAGACATCTGATAAATTGTATTAGAATTCCACTGATTTATCATCTTGGCAAAAGGCCTTTTGTAAAGTAAATCCATTAATACCTTAAAGTTATTAATGGAAGTACTTTTTTCAAGGCCACATTAGTATATTGGACATGGGCAGTTATGCTTGAATCTCTTGCAAGTGTTGCATATAGTTGTGTTCAAGATGAATGAGAGGCTTGGAGGGTTTGCTGCAGATTCAGAAAGAGCTGTGAGCTGTAATTTATACAATATATTCCAAAAAATAATTGCTTAGGACCATGTTCATAATGAATCATTGTATGTATCATGACATGTAATTATTAATCACAATAAAATATAAAATGTCCATTATGTGTTCTTTTAGTGCTGCCACTAATATATCCATACACACATACACTTTTATACATGTGTATTCAAACATAAAAAAGTAAATAATATAAGTATAAATATTAACAAATTTAACCCTTATGTAGCAACTACCCAATAAGAAATAAGTAAGTCACATACATGTATATTATATATATATATATATATATATATATATATATATATATATATATATATATATATATATATATATATATATATATATATACATATATATATATACATATACATACGTATACGTATACATATACATATACGTATACGTATACATATACGTATACGTAATACATATATACATATACATATACATATACAATATATACATATAATATATATATATATATATATATATATATATATATATATATATATATATTATAATGTATGTATATATGTATATATGTATATACATTTTTATATATATATATATATATATATATATATATATATATATATATATATATATATATATATATATATATATTCATTACCCAATCCCTTGCCCGTTGTTGTAATGGGAGAGTTTAGGAGACGGATACTGAGACCCAGTACAGAGGGATCTCCCCTGCTTAGGGCCTCAACCCTTGACTTAACTAATTTTGCATGGTCTTTTCTCTCTAGCTCTTTTGCGTCCGTCCCTTCCCCAACCCCTTCTACTATCTACTTCCTAAGGTGTAAGTCGTGTTGAAAGAATGAAAGGCTTACTTTGTGCCAGTCCTGAACGGAGTGAGGGAACCATGGGCACAGTATTCCCGTTTTGTTGTTTGGCCCTTACCCCTCAAGGGGTCCTTGAGGGGTGGACTGTTTATTTCCCCAACATAATCAAGGCTTCCCATGGCCAGTAATGAAGATATAACACCCTTATTAGGGGCAATGAGGCTTTCTCCTTCATCAAATAGTCCCACTAATTCAAACTCTCCCGGCTCCCCGACCCCAGGCTCTCCTTTGACCATGACTCTGAACACTGCAACTACTCCCCACTCCTCAATGCTTACTAGTGCATTACCCACCCAAGCCGAGACTCAATCTCCAGAAGACATTCCTACTCTCCCAACTTACTCAACTTCATCACATCTACCCCCGCAATCTTCATCAAGCACCCCAGCCTCCTTTTTTACTACCTTACAGCCTTATTCTCTATCTCTCCGTAATACTACCCCCTCAACAGTACTCCCTCTTCCACATGTCCTCGTCGTTCTACCACCGCCAACCCTACAAACATCTTAAATACTCTATTTAGCCCAGCCAAATGGGACCGATTTTTCGTGATCCCTCTACAGCTCCTTACTTAGGCAACACTTCTCTTTCAATAATGCCTCCAAAAGCAATTGGGCAGTCCCCTTCCTTACCCGACCCGACCGTTCCCGTCTCGTAACAGTCACATCTGAAACTGAAGCTATAGCATTATCATATCTAACCGATCTCT